CCTCAACTTCAAAGACAGACATTACCTCAGAGTAAAGGATTGGGAAAAGTTTTCCAATCAAATGGAACTAAGAAACAAGCTGGTGTAGCAATTCTAATATCTAACAAAATAGACTTCAAACTAAAATTAATCAAAAGAGATGGAGAAGGAAATTTCATATTCATTACAGGAAAAATCCATCAAGATGAAATCTCAATTCTGATATTTATGCCCCAAATACAAGGGCACTAACATTTGTAAAAGAAACATTACTAAAACTCAAATCACAGATAAAACCCCACACACTAATAGTGGGAGACTTCAACACCCCAGATGTTACAACTCAAAAGGACTTAATAGACATCTACAGAACATTTCACCCACACAAAAGAGTATACCTTCTTCTCAGCACTTCATGGAACCATCTCTAAAATTGAGCATGTACTCAGTCACAAAGCAAATCTCAACACATACAAAAAAAAAAAAAATTGGAATAAACCACTGTATCTTATCTATTTACACTGACTTAAAGTTAGAATTCAACAACACCACAAATTACAGAAAGCCTACAAACTCTTGGAAACTGGACAATACTTAACTGAATCACCACTGGATCAAGAAAGAAATAAAGAAATTAAAGACTACCTAGAATTCAATGAAAATGAATGTACAACATACCCAAACCTGTGAGCCACTATGAAAACAGTGCTAAGAGGAAAGTTCATAGCACTACATGCCCACATAAAGAATATGGTGAAATCCCACACTAGCAACTTTACAGCACACCTGAAAGCTCTAGAACAAAAAGAGGTAAACTCACCCAGGAGGAGTAGATGACAGAAAATAAAACTGAGGGCTGAAATCAATAAAATAGAAACAAAGAGAACAATACAAAGAATCAATAAAACAAAGAGTTGGTTCTTTTGAGAAAAATCAACAAGATAGACAAACCCTTATCCAAACTAACCAAAAGGCAGAGAGGGAATATCCAAATTAACTAAATCAGAAATGAAAAGGGGGACATAACAGAAGCTGAGGAAATCCAGAGAATCATTAGGTCATACTTCAAAAACCTATACTCCACAAAATTGGAAAAGCCTAAAAGAAATGAACAATTTTCTTGATACCATATACCAAGGTTAAATCAAGGTTAGATAAACAATTTAAATCGACCTAAGGAAATAGAAGTGGTCATTAAAAGTCTCCAAACCAAAAAAGCCTGACTACTTCAGCAGATGCCAGGCAGGATGCCACCACGTCCTTTTCCTGCTTCCACTGCAGACACAACTAGCACTGGTACAATTCCAACCACCTGGATGAAACCGCTTATTATACCCAACTAGAGATTATCCGAGGGGGAAAAAAGACCAAAACAGAATGTTGCAGAGCTTCAATACTGAATGGTACTAAGAATAAGATCCATAGCCAGGCGGTGGTGGCACACACCTTTACCCAAGCATTTGGAGGCAGAGGCGGGTGGATCTCTGAGTTCAAGGCCAGCCTGGTTTACCGAGTTAGTTCCAGGACAGCCAGGACTATACTGAGAAACCCTGTCTCAAAAAACAAAAACAAAAAATAAGCAAGCAAACAACAACAAAGAGTAAGATCCAGTAGCTAAGAGGAAGGAAACATAGAAAAAGGAAAAATGTATACATGCACAGAGCAGAGAGCTGGCTAGCCTGTCCCTTCACACTATCACAGCTTTGTGTAGGAAACTCCTGTTCATGGATATAAGAAGGAGGGCTGTGTACTATCCTATTTAAGATGGAACACTTAAGGAGGCACTATTAATAATATCAAGACACAAGCACTCGGGATATAGAAAGGGGCACCAACACTTACTAACATGCACAATAACAGATAAAGCTGACGGCAAGAACTCAGAAGAGGGGCTCAAGACCCACTTGAACTTTCTAATCATCTTTGCTACATCCCTTTAGCAAATGTTACAAATATGACAAACTTGGTTAGTAAGCCAATACCAACCACCCAGATCCAGAACAAAATCCCTATGCTGGACTCCTCCGCAAACCAAGTTCTATTCGGATTAGCAGTGAAGTTTCTCTTAGTTAAGCTTACTAGCCCCAATAAATTTTACTGCTAAGTCCAAATTTGGCCCCAGTGATCACCATTATTTTTCCCGACAAGGCCTCTCTGGATAGCCTAGTCTGGCCTTGAATTCATGATCCTTCTGCCTCAGTATCCCATGTGCTGACTGTTGGCATTAGAGGAACAAGCCACCAGGTCTGACTGATCACTTCCTTTGCTTCCTTGCCTCCTCTGCTCTCAAATGCTGTGATTTACTGACACAGCTTCGTCTCCATCAGCTCATAACGCTTCATTATTGGCTTACTCTATACCAGACATTCTGTTATATGATAAAAGTATAAAACCAGCACGCAAATAGCTTAATAAAAGCAAATGCATTAAAAAAAAATCAGTGTTGTATAGTATGGCTGAGGGGACAGTATAGCACATTAAAGACGTACCAAAGGATGAGTGGAACTTCCTGGAAGTGTCAGGGACAGTTTCATAAACTGATGAGTGTGTAGCTGTTTTTTATCACTCTCTGGCTCTTTACTCTCTTGGGCTCTTTGGGGAGGAGGGGACTACACCCAGATCCTAAATAAGCCAGACCTTTTCTCATTTATAAATGCCCAGCCTTAGCTTGTTTCTAGCCAGCTTTTCTTATCTTAAATTATCCCATCTTTTGCCTCTGGGCTTTTATCTTGCTCTATTTCTGTATATCTTACTTTCACTCTTAACTCTGTGGCTGGCTGGGTACCTGGCCCCTGATATCCTCCTCTTCTTTTTCTCTCATCCCTTCTCCTCTTCCCAGATTTCTCCTCCTATTTCTTCTCCCTGCCTGGTAGCCCCGCCTATCCTTTCTCCTGCCTCACTACTGGCCATTCTGCTTTTTATTGGGACCATCAGTGTTTTAGACAGGCAAAGAATCACAGCTTCGCAGAGTTAAACAAATGCAACATAAAAGAACGCAACACATCTTTGCATCAATAAACACGTGTTCCGCAGCACAAACAAATGTAACACATCTTAAAATAATATTCCACATCAGGAAGCTTCCCAGGTTCAGCAAGGAGAACAGGAACAGATAGAGACAAGGAAGCGAGGAGCAGGGAAGCAGTGGAGAGGCAGCTGAGGCGCATCATGAAGCAGACGGGAGGCGAGTGTTTCCACAGAGTGGCGAACCCGCAGCCTCACCTCAGACTCTTCCTGTAAGCGCAAACAGCTGTCCAGGAACAGAAGGGACCGATCCACAGACTTCCTGGCCCTTTTGATGGAAGTTGCTTCTGCACAAGATGCCTCCCCGTCTGAAAGGCACTGGAACCAGTCTGGCTGCAGGGCCTCCTGAATTGCCATGAACTTGGAAACAGTCATTTCCACTCGACCTCCAAAACCCCACACAGACACAGACTGCGTGGAGCAAGAGACGAGGAATTAATCAGAATAACATGAAAATAAAAAGGAAATAAGACAGCGAGATGTGGAGATTCCCAACACCTGAAGAGACGAGTCCTCATGTTGTGGTGACCCCCAACCATAAAGTTATTTTTGTTGCTACTTAATAAGTGTAAATTTGCTACTGTAAATATCTGATATGTGACACCTGTGAAAGGGTTGTTTGAAACCCCAAAGGGTCGAGACTCACAGGTTGAAGACCAGAGCTCTAAGTTTTTCCAACAACATAAAAACGCTGAGGATCTGTTCTGAACTTAACTCATCTTCAAGCAGCCCTCCTCAATTTTATGAATCATCACAGTCTGCTAAAATCATGAACATAAATAGAGGGCATGAAGGAATCCCATAGCATTTGAGGGCCACCATAACTGGACTTCCCTGGGACAAGGCTGAGAACACACCTTATTTGTTACATAGCCAGCTGGGCCGGGGCTGACTGGGTCGTGCAAGGAGCAGTAGAAGAGCGATTCTGGCATGCCTGTATAGACACAAAAAGAACTGTTCAAAGTGCTATGGGAAAAAGCTTCCCAGCATGCCTGCATGTGCTATAGATAAAGCAACCCTAATCCCAGCGAACAGTTGGAACCTGATCTTGGATTTATAGAGGGCCTGTGAAAAGGAAGACTCTCCACCCTAAAAGAATTAAATGTAAAAATTCACATTGTGCTGACATGACACAAACCTGGACATATCTGAGAAGAGGAAATTCAATTGAGAAACTGTTTGCATGACACTGGTCTACAGAAAGTCCTTGGGGCATTTTCTTGATTAATGATGGATGCTGGAGGACCCCGCTCACCGTGACAGTGCCGTTCCTGGGTTGGTGGTCCCCGATTCTATACTAAAGCATCTGAGCAAGTCATGCAGAGCAAGCAGTTTGCCTCCTGGGCCTCTGCTTCAGTTTTTGCTGGTATACAAAAACCTTTAAATAAAGCCTTTCTACCCCTAAGATGCTTTAGGTCACAGTGTCTTTATCAGAGCAGTAGAAACCCTAACTAAGACAGAAATTGGTATCAGGTTCAGGTTATCACAGCAGTGATGAATTCCCCATTACCTAAATTCCTTTTTGCTTTTGACTAGCATTCAACCTTCTGGGGTCCCTGACTTCGTCCCAAAGTCAGCAGGAAGCAGTTTGGAAAAGAATTTCGCCGTCCATTTTCCCTGGTTAAAATGCTAAGTCAAAAGGAACTCCCTTGCATGGGGATGCTAGAGAAACAGCAATTCCATGATTGAATTTCCAAAAAAGAAAATGGGGGAATGAAGGAACCAGCTTCCCTTTCGGCAGCCATAACGGTCGAACATGTGCTTCTATGACCTTGCCCTAGACACTAGAAAGTCAGATTCCTGTCTCGGTGACAAGGAATCAATCAGGAGTTAACTGGTGGCGCTATGCTTGACCTCTGGGTGTGCTTTACGGACAAGCGCACAGCAATGACGTAGAGAGCATAGCAACCACCCTGGGAGGGCCTATGGGCCATAACAACCAGTTGACCAATCAACACAGGGCAAGCCCTCCCAGCCTGGAAGCACACCAATCGTGAGCCTGTGCGTAAGCCTTTCGTACCCCTAGACACTCCCCTTACGCTGCCCTATAAGATCTTTTGGGAGACCCTAGGAGCCGCCTTTTCTAGCCATCCGCCATGGTGGGTGGGTGGAAGACCCGAGCTAACATGGGGTTAGGTCGTTAAATTACAATAAAGCCTCGTGCAGTTTGCAGCAAGCTCTCGAATCCGCCTGGTGATTGGGGTGACCTCGAACGTGGCCTGGGACCCCGGATACTTGAGTTTTCGGGGGTCTAACATCACTTTTTAAAAAAGAGACAAAAACAAATTAAAAAAGTTAAAAGCCCCTGCAGTGTTTACCTTATTTGCTAAATTTCAGTTTATTACAATTATCTCTGTTAAGTGCATGCTAGCCACGGGCACTTAATGAAAGGCCTGTGGGCTTTAAATCTTGTTGTTTTTACTCATTCACTCTTGGCTCTTTGGGGGGAGGGGGGTCCGCCACCAAGCTCCCAAAGAAATCACACACAGGGAGTCTTATTCTTACTTATAAATGCCCCACCTTAACTTGGCTTATTTCTAGCCAGCTTTTCTTAAATTATTCCATCTATCTTTTGCCTCTGGGATTTTACCTTTCTCTATTTCTATATATCTAACTTTTACTCCATGGCTCGCTGGCTCGCTGGCTGGCCCCTTACATCCTCCTCTCCTTGTTCTCTTGCACCTTCTTCCAGATTTCTCCCTTTATTCTCTGTCGGCCAGCCCTGCCTATCCTTTCTCCTGCCTCACTATAGGCTGTTTGGCTCTTTATTAGACCATCAGGTGTTTTAGACAGGCACAGAATCACAGCTTCACAGAGTTAAACAAATGCAGTATAAACAAAAAGCAACACACCTTTACATCATTAAACAGAATGGCAAATGTAACACCTTATAATACATTTACAACAAAAGCCGGTGACGGTGACGACAACTGCTCTCAGCTTATGGAGACTTAAGATCTCTTAACTCCCTCTTCTGAACTAGTGAAGTATCATGCAGTTTCCTTCTAAAGCAGAACAGATGACCAAGGATACTGGAGTCATTTACTTAATGAGGCTTAGGTGTTGGGGGAATTGAGGAGAAAGTGGTTCTGTAGCTGCCGCAACTTAAGTTTTCCCTCCAACTAAATGGGCACGTTATCTGCACTTAAAGTTCTACTTCCAGAACAAAAGGTAATACTAACCTATCAGAACACGACTGCAACCCTCTTTTTTATGAATGAGGCTCATGCATGAGGAGACAGCTCTGGAGTGTATATATCCTATGGTCCTGCTCTAGTCTTTGCTCACAACTTGGAGTGTTGGCCCCACACCTGTTTACCACAACCACAGCTTCCATCCTGACCTGGCTAACACCTATTCTTCCCTAATCCAGCCAAGATGCCCCCTCATCATCTTCATCAAGAATTCTTTATTCTGACCCCCTCTCACCAGAGCAGATTATATGTTCCTGTGGTCTGTCTTTGAAGGGACCAGCCCCCATTTCGGCAGCCATGACAGTAACACGTGCTTGCTATGACCTTGTCTTAGTCACTAGAGGTTAGGTGCCTGCCTCGTGACAAAGAACCAATCAGAAGTTGGCTGGTGACGCTATGCTTTACGACCCTGGGTGTACTTTACGGACAAGGGCACAGCAATAACGCACAGAGCATAGCAACCACCCTGGGAGGGCCTATGGGCCATAACAACCAGTTGGCCAATCAACACAGGGCAAGCCCTCCAAGCCTGGAGGGCACACCAAACCTGAGCCTGTGCATACCCCTAGACACTCCCCTTACGCTGCCCTACAAGATCTCTTGGGAGCCCCTAGCTGTCTTTTGTAGCCAACCGCCATGGTGGGTGGACAAAAGACCGAAGCTAACATGGGATTAGCTCGTTAAATTACAATAAAGCCTCATGCTGTTTGCAACAAGCTCTCGAATCTGCCTGGTGATTGGGGTGACCTCGGTCGTGGCCTGGGACCCCGGATACCTGAGTTTTCCGGGGGTCTAACATCTTAATATATGAGTATAACCTTAATATATGACTATACAAAGCAGCAAGAACCATGTGTTTCTAATGAACCTTCAACCCCCAATGCCTCGTTCTTAGATGCCCCAAAGATGATTATTTAAAAAAAGATAAATAAATGTATGAGGGAATCACAGTAAGCCATCAGGACCAACAAACTCCAAATTAATACATCACAAATCACGCATACATGTAATTTAAATAGTCCTTACCTATAAAGCTTCCAACTCCTTTCTTATACTCTGCCAAGACTTCCTGATGTTCTGCTCTGTAAGAAAAACAGAAAAGTGCACAGCATAGCAATGGATCATTCTTTTTTTTTTTTTTTTTTCTGGTTTAAAAAGTTGTTTATTTCTCAAGTAAATTATGTATGCTTGTTTTAAAATGTTCTGTTTTGGCATAACCTAAGTTCTGTTAGAAGCATACAGCTAAAACAAATGGTGCAGGTCACCGCCATTTTGCAGCCAGCCGCATGGCAAGCTGGTCACATGGCTGGCTGGTAACCATTTTGCTGAAGTTGAAAAAAAGATACTTAAACCGCACAATGGCTCATTCTTTAGCTACGCTGTGCAACACCAGAAGCCCTCTTCTTCTCACCCAAATAAGCCACACGACAGTGAATGCCTCCTCAACAGCAAAGCATACCACTTTTCAAGATGTCCAACCAGCAGGGCTGGGGTCATTAGTTAAAACGAAGGTATATAATTTGCCAGTGCATGAGAAGAAAAACTGACAAAACAACAACTGCTTCAGAACACTTGGATTTTCTTCCTTTTTTCTTGTCTCTGTAAAATCACTAGTAACACAATAAGTCAGTTACTTGATCATATAACAGTTTCAATTAAACACAGTTAGTTTGTACTTAACAAAATGAGTTGACTCTATTTATTTCATTTCAATAAAGTTGTACCAGCAACTATGGGTACAGAGGGCAGAGGAACCTTTGAACTCCATTTGTTCTTACACGCAGGGAGTAATAGAAAGGGCCTGAAAGTTTGACCGAAATGCAAAGTATTGCTAACAGACAGGTCGGGCTTGTGGTTCCAGGTTAGGACTGAAGGGACCAGCTTCCCTTTCGGCAGCCATAACAGCCGAACACGTGCTTGCCATAAACTTGCCTTGGTCACTTAGAGGTCAGATTCG